CGTACCTAACCCGGGGGAACTGCGATCCCCCGTGATCCCCCCCGAAATGACCTCTGAGCCCTGGCTTTTGCGCTATATATTTTGTTAAGAGAAACGCCAGTGCCCTCCCTCAGAGGGTTGTTGTGAGGAACAAGGAAATGGGGCCTGGAAATCAGTTAGCCCGTATACAGTGCTGTATCAATCCAGAAAAGAGCAGGGGCGCCTTATTTTATATCTTTTATTTCTTTATTCGATTTATACCCCGCCCTTCTCGTTAAAACAGGCTCAGGGCGGCTGAGTTAAAATGTTAAAATGCATAGAACAACACAATGAAAGAACCAATTCCTAAAGTGCTGGTAAAATAGCAAATACTGCATAGCGATGGCGGAGCATCGTAAAAGATCAGTTAGAATGGAATACAGTCAGGATTGCTGTTAGAGATATTACCTCAATCCCTGTGTGCTGGCGGGCACAGGCCACCAATGGTGATTTCAGGGGACAGGGCTTGGCTAGTATTCGGTTATTAGTTCATTCGGCGGGTCCTTGATTGAAAGACTGGTGGAAGAGCTCCACCTTGCAGGCCCTGCGGAACTGTAGAAGGTCCAGCAGGGCCCTAATGCCTTCTGGGAGCTTGTTCCACCAGTGCGGAGCCGCCACTGAGAAGGCCCTGGCCCTTAAAGACTAGCAACATTTGTGGCAGGGGAAGAGCTTTGGTGAGTCACCGCTCACTTCTTCAGATATGCTAGTCTTTAAGGCGCTCCTGGACTCTGGCTCTTTTCTACTGCTACAGACAGACTTAACACAGCGACCCATCTTGTTTGATGTAGTTTGGTGTAGTGGTTCGGTGTCGTGGTTAAGTGCGCGGACTCTAATCTGGGAGAACGGGGTTTGATTCCCCACTCCTCCACATGCACCTGGCTGGATAATCTTGGGCAAGCTGTAGTTCCGATAAGAGCTGTTATTGAAAAAGAGCAGTTTCTGTCAGAGCTCTCTCAGCCCCACCTACCTCACAGGGTGTCTGTTGTGGGGAGGGGATGGTAAAGGAGTTTGTAAGCTGCTCTGAGACTCCTTTGGGTAGTGAAGGGCGGGGTATAAATCCAATCTCTTCTTCTTCTTCTTCTTGATCTACCTGCTATATCAGTGATTCCTAATTGCCACCTGCATGGTTAAGTGGTGGTGTTAACAGTGAGTTTTACCATTTGATAACCTTGTTTCTCCTCACCCCGTCCCTGAATGTTCTGTACTTAATGGGACTCTTGTTCCTTACTTTAAAGAGCAAGGGCGTGGCACAGCCCCCCGCCCCCATCCATCACAGCGCTGTACTCGCGAGGGGTGGGTTGCACGGGTGTTTCTCTGAGGGCTGGCACCGGCTTTTCCTTACGGAACCCTCTGGGTCATAGGGCGCACACAGCCATGCAGTGACAGCCGTTTGTGAGTACGGATGCCAAATATGTGCTCGATCCTTGGCGGGTGGCGCAATTGCCAGAAAGCGCCGGATGGAGACAGCCCGCGGGCGGGGCGGCCCAAAGGGACCTGTGTGAATGGGACAGGGCCGTTTCTGTGGGATGCACATTCCTGTTCCCCATATCGGGGTGGCCTCATTCGGGCCTCATGCAAATCCGTTGCTGATTATGCAAATGGTTAATTGCCGCCTGGCCTCTGTTCCTGACGATGAACTCAGAAGGAAGGCTCCGATCAGGAAGTTGTCTTTTGATCTGGTGTTTTGCTCCCCGCCGGAATGTGCTCCGGCATCCTTGTCTGGGAGATTGAGAATGTGTCAGTCGAAGCGGTGGCTTCCCTCACTGGCTAGAACGGGGGGGGGGGCAGGAGGAGGCTCTTCAGTGGCATTCTGCCACATATTTCTGGATCTGCAAGGGCAAGAAATATACTTTTTTTCAAAAAATAGAAACTTGGGATCAGGGACAGTGTTCCCTCTAAGCTGAGTTAGTGTGAGCAAGCTCACAGTTTTTTTAGCCTCCGGCTCACTGATTTTTGTCTCCGCTCAGGAAGGAGGGCTCCAGAGCAAACTAAGTTATGCCGTAGCCAAATCGCTCCCTCACAACTTTAATGCCAGGAGCTCACAAAGTAGAATTTTTGCTCACAAGACTCCACACCAGTGTTCCCTCTAAGCTGAGTTGGTGTGAGCAAGCTCACGGTTTTTAAGCCTCCGGCTCACCCATTTTTGTCTTAGCTCTAGAAGGAGGGCTCCAGAGCAAACTAAGTTATCTCGTAACCAAATCACTCCCTCACAACTTTAATGCCAGTAGTTCATAAAGTAGAATTTTTGCTCACAAGACTCCACACCAGTGTTCCCTCTAAGCTGAGTTGGTGTGAGCAAGCTCACAGTTTTTTAGCCTCCAACTCACAGATTTTTGTCTTAGCTCTAGAAGGAGGGCTCCAGAGCAAACTAAGTTATCTCGTAACCAAATCACTCCCTCACAACTTTAATGCCAGTAGTTCATAAAGTAGAATTTTTGCTCACAAGACTCCACACCAGTGTTCCCTCTAAGCTGAGTTGGTGTGAGCAAGCTCACAGTTTTTTAGCCTCCAACTCACAGATTTTTGTCTTAGCTCTAGAAGGAGGGCTCCAGAGCAAACTAAGTTATCTCGTAACCAAATCACTCCCTCACAACTTTAATGCCAGTAGTTCATAAAGTAGAATTTTTGCTCACAAGACTCCACACCAGTGTTCCCTCTAAGCTGAGTTGGTGTGAGCAAGCTCACAGTTTTTTAGCCTCCAACTCACAGATTTTTGTCTTAGCTCTAGAAGGAGGGCTCCAGAGCAAACTAAGTTATCTCGTAACCAAATCACTCCCTCACAACTTTAATGCCAGTAGTTCATAAAGTAGAATTTTTGCTCACGAGACCCCCACAGCTTAGAGGGGGCATTGATGGCAGCTCATGATTTGGGTGGTCTGGTGGGAGCCCAGGCAAAATCCAGATCACTTGGGCATATCCAGACGACGGCTTGACTGAGAACGGCAGAGCCGATTTCCAAGGTGCCGAGCCGACAGGCTGAAATCTCTGGGGCCTTTGGGGTGGCTGCCTGGCAGGATCCGAGAGGTGTGTGCCAAGCCCAAGGGGAGGGTGAGGCACATTCCACACAGGCCAGGTGAGAGGAAACTGAGTTCGGAGACGTGGGATGGGGAGGTAAGGAGGCCAAAAGGCGCCATGGAAGACTGATCTGGCCGACCGCAGTGGGACGTCCTACCCCGCCAATGTTCCCTCTAAGCTGAGTTAGTGTGAGCTAGCTCACAGTTTTTTAGCCTCCGGCTCACACATTTTTGTCTTAGCTCAGGAAGGAAAGCTCCACAGCAAACTACTTTGTGCAGTAGCCAAATCACCTGCTCACAGCTTTAATGCCAGGAGCTCACAAAGTAGAATTTTTGCTCACAAGACTCTGCGGCTTAGAGGGAGCACTGAGTGGGACCACCCTTGGCTGGAAAACATTTCTCACGTTGGGGGGGGGGAGCGCCAAGAAAGGTATCTGCGGGCACCACACATTGGGGGGGGGGGGCCTGTCCTGGCTTTTTAATTGGGCCA